CAAACTTAAGTTAGAGAACGGGAACGAAAAATTCAGCAATTTTTTCCGTTTGTAAAGGGGCATAACTCTAGAAAGATAAAAGTGACGCCACCAAATTTCAAATTTGATCTGTGTTTTTTGGTAATAAGCATTGTGTATAAGATTTAAAACAGTTGGTTGAGGCAAACTAAAGTTAGAGAGCGGAAACCAATTTCGGGACGTACGGACGTACGGGGACATACAGACGGACAAGGGTAAAAATTAATGCCCCCTCCGCTACGGCGGTGGCATAAAAAGGAGCGAAGTATTTCACACACAAGTCCGCACAGTATCAGTTTATAGAAAAACAAGTTAAGTGACGGTTTAGATTTCAATGAATGTGACTCATGTATAACTTGTAAGTTATTGAGTCAGAAATTTCGTTACCACAAATTAGTTCAAACTTTTACCTAAATCTTTTATAGATACAAAGATTTGGTTTTGAAATTTGGCTGTACCTGTCGAAGACTTATAAAAACGGGATAGCACATCCTGATTTTACGTTGGTGTTGTTTTTAGAACTCATTGATACTTAGGTATCAACTCCCTCAGAAAAAAATTGACCTAAGATAAATTTTGCTATTTTTAGGTCCTATTTTGTCATATAGGTCTTTCGGTTTTATACATCCTTGGCTTTTAATTATTCGACTTTGAGCGTTAATGATGAAGGTAAATTCAGAAAAGCGCTTCGGATTCGTGTAATTGATAATTTTTTGAATGAATTTAATCTTTAAGGTTTTCAATTTAACACCATGTTAAAGTCTTGAAATATTGTTTTATCGGAATTTTATAATGATTTTGTTTTTCAAAAATTAAAACATGATAACTTAATGTATACTGCTATATATACACAGTTATGAGTGTTCATAATCCTACATCCTGTCGATAATGATTACTTATATTTTGGCATTGCACAAGGTCATTCGTTTCACAGACTGTGTATTACGTCTTTACAATAAATCCGTTGGATGTGTACTGATTGATACTTTAGTCTGGGAGAACATGGTGTAGTTTTAAGTTACAATTGGCTTTGAACAACCTTAGAGTTGCTGAAAGTACTATAATATCGGTGCCTGGTGTCTATTGTATTTTATGCCTAGTTCACACGTACATTTAATTCGAATTAAATTTGAATCGAATTCGATAATCGCGTTAACACACTTCTTTTTTTAAATTCGAATCGAATTCGAATTAGCTAATTCGCATTAGAAATGCGTTTTCGTTGATGCGAATTAGTTAATTTGCTTCAATTCGAATTAAACTGTGGTGTAGACTCTTTTTAAATTATAATTCGAATTACCCGAACAAGTGCTTGGACGGACAAATTAAAAGAATATTATCATTATTTCTTAAAAACGTAACACTATTAATTCGTGTCCTCGAAAATATCATAGGCGAAACCATAATAAAGTTATTGTGGTCATGTGGTCAAATTTGAACTTGATCTGAGTTTTGTGGTAATAAGCATTGTGTGTAAGTCTCATAACATTTGGTTGAGGCTAACTTAAGAAGAGAACAGAAACTAAAAATTCAGCAATTTTTCTATTTGTAAACACGCATAACTCTAGAACGGTTGTACATAAGTTTTATAACATTTGGTTGAGACAAACTAAAGTTAGAGAACGAAAACTAAAAATTCAGCAATTTTTATGTTATAAAGGGTCATAACTCAAGAATGGTAAAAGTGTTCTCACCAAATTTTGTATTTAATCTGTATTATGAAGTAATAAGCATTGTGTATAAGTTTCATAACATTTGGTTGAGGCAAACTAAAGTTAGAAAACGGAAACAAAAATTTTGTACTTGATTTTAGTTTTGTGGTAATGAATATTATGTATAGGTTTCATAATGTTTGGTTGGGGCAAACTTTAGTTACAGAATGGAAACTGAAAATTTTGCAATCTTTTGATTTATAAAGGGGCATAACTCAATAATGGTTAAAGTGACACTACCCAAATTCAACTTGATCTGTGTTTTATCAGTGGAAGTCAAAATTAAACATTGCATTGTATAAAGCATTGATTGTAGTTGATTCAACTATACTCATGGACAAAGGAAGATAACTCCAATTTTAAAAATAAATTGATATTTAGAAGAAAATAAAAATTTTGCAATTTTTCCATTTATAAAGGGGCATAACTCTAGAACAGTAAAAGTGACGCCACCAAAATTCAAACTTGATCTGTGTTTTGTGGTAATAAGCATTGTGTTTAAGTTTGATAACATTTGGTTGAGGCAAACTTAAGTTAGAGAACGGAAACAGACGGACAAGGGTAAAACTTAATGCCCCAACCGCTACGGCGGGGGCATAAAAAATGTTCTTGGAAATAAATGTGGATTGTGGAAACAGATGATGCCCCCGCTTGCATATCATATAGTTATAAAGGGACATAACTGAAGAACGGTAAAAGCGACGCTACCCAAATTTGAACTTGATCTGAGTTTTGTAGTAATAAGCATTGTGTGCAAGTCTGATAACATTTGGTTGAGGCAAACTTAAGTAAGAGAACGGAAACTAAACATTTTGCAATTTTTCCATTTATAAAGGGGCATTACTCTAGAACGGTTTGAGTGACGCCACCAACATTCAAACTTGATCTGCGTTTTGTGGTAATAAGCATTGTGTATAAGTTTCATAACATTTGGTTGAGGCAAACTTAAGTTAGAGAACAGAAACTAAAAGTTTTGCAATTTGTCCATTTATAAAGGGGCATTACTCTAGAACGGTTTGAGTGACGCCACCAAAATTCACCCTTGATCTGTATTTTGTGATAAGCATTGTGTATAAGTTTCATAACATTTGTTTGAGGCAAACTTAAGTTAGAGAACGGAAACTAAAAATTTAGCAATTTTTCCATTATAAAGGGGCATAACTCTAGAACCGATTAAGTGACGCCACCAAAATTCAAACTTGATCTGTGTTTTGTGGTAATAAGCATTGTGTAATAGTTTCATAACATTTGGTTGAGGCAAACTTAAATTAGAGAACGGAAACTTAATAATGTTGCAATTTTTCAATTTATAAAGGGGCATAACTCTAGAATGGTTAGAGCGATGCTACCAAATTTCAAACTTGATCTGTATTTAGTGGTAATAAGCATTGTGTATAAGTTTCATAACATTTGGTTGAGGCGAAATCAAGTTAGAGAACGTACGGACGGACAAGGGTAAAACTTAATGCCCCCTCCGCTACGGCGGGGGCATAAAAATAGGAAAGCCCTAGTCCTGTTATTGAAATGAGAAGGAAAAATGATTCCGATAAATGCCATATCAGATCAAGAGAGCAAGTTTTGAGATGTTATTGGTTCTAAAATGGTTGGTTTTTTTTTAAATAATAATTAATTAATTGATAATGCGAATTAAAAGTTAACGTCGTTCGGACAGTAAAGCTAATATTTGACGCACATTGCAATTCGTATTAAAATTTACGTTCGAACGTCAAACGTTTCGAATGAAACTAATTCGAATTAGTTAATTTGAATCGAATTCGAATTACGTGTGAACGCAGCATATGTTAGTTGTTTTTTCCTGTTTCGTACCGTTCTTGAGTTAAGCCATTTGCCACTGATGTTAAGAGTTTGTTTTTATGTTGCGCTGTTACACCACTGTCACAGGTTAAGGGAAAGTTAAACGCGCACAAATATGTTTCAACCCGCCACATTTTTTATGCGTCTGTCCTAAGTCAAGAGCCTGTAATTCAGGGGTTGTCGTAAGTTCATGTCCGTCATATTTGTTTTCGTAAATTGAATTGTTATAAATTAGGCCGTTAGTTTTCCAGTTTGAAATTTGTCACATTTTTCATGTTTTATAGCTAACTTTACGGTGTGGGGCTTTCACATTGTTGAAGGCCGCACGGTGACCTATAATGGCTTGAACTCTGGTGGATAGTTGTCTTATTGGCAATCAAACAACATCTCGGCCTTATTTTTATATTAGGAATTGCCATTAAAATCAGACATTTTAACTTAATAATATTTTTATAGATTTATGAAATCTTTTGCGAAATGAAGACGGCGATATAACACTGTTAACAGTGAAGAACGTCACAGCATGCATGAAGGAGTACCTCGAGCTTGCTTTAAGTAACTTCGCGTTCTTCTCTTGCTTCGCCTGTTCTTGTACCTGTGTTTTTGTTGACTTTCATGTCAATTAGGTCTATTTTATTCAGAAAAGGTTTTATTTTTTTTTCACTTATTTCGATTAAGATAATTTTTGTAATAAAGTTATTCCAATGATCGAGCGTCATATGCCTCGTCCGTGGTTGTAATATCTTTACGTTTTTGTCATTTAGGAAATTTTGTATTGAAGGTAGATCTTTGATATATGTAGGCTCTGTTTAATTCACCCATAACATTCTGGACATGGAGAATTTAGATTATTATATTTCATGTCAAAATGCCAGATTTTGATTGGTTGATAAGAGGGAGACAAATTACTCTATCTCATGGCAAATACTCTTTTACCCTTCACCAAGAACATATATATTGACTGTTCCCAGCCTTCACGGAGAAGCTTGTTGAAGTGTGCGCTTTAATAAATACAGATGATAGTTTTGTACAAGACGACATAGTTTATTACTTTGAATTTGAAATTTAATAGACATTAATAACAGAACATTCAGTATAATAAATTAATAATATTTGAGAGGCGGATAGAGCAGATTTTATTCTTATTTCAGTATTACTTGTCAGCTTCAGCAAGTTATCGCACGGAAACCATTGTATTTACGGACATATTAGAAGCATTTTGTGTAAAAGAGGGACGAACCCTTTATGACTACCATACCATAATATACAAAATTTGCGGTAGTGAAAAAAATATGATTGGATTATGTATATGCATTAAAAAAAATTAGTGTTAGCTTTCAAAATGGATGTGTGCGAAGTATATCTTTCAATATTACTTGTACACAAGTTTTATTGTCGAGCTGAATGTAATGTTAAAGACGCTCCTACTCACAAGCAACAATGAAAAGTCTGATACTGTTTTAGAATGTATGGTCTTTTATTACCACAAAGGCATAACAAACATATCACATTTCTTAAATGAACAAATTATTTTGTTAATAGCAAACCATATGTTTTAGACTATATGCACTCTTCCAAAAGGTTTCATATTGAAAAAAAAAGATCAAAATGATGCTAACGTTGTTTCACTAATATCTACAAAAGACGGGAATGCACTTTGTGAAGTAAGTATATTTTTTTTTATACATGAAGTTTTGACAATATAGCGAGATATTATTATATATCATGGCAAAGATGATGAAAGGTTTGTAACACTCAGCATTTTTTTGTCCGTATTGCATGAATCATAATAATGTCAGTTTCAAGTGATAAGAGTTCTAATATATGAAACTTAAAGTTCCATTATCCATATTTTCTAAACACTAAATTATCACATGATAGTTTCTATCATATAAAGCACTGCCTGTTCCAAGTAACTACTAAAGATACTTCATGGAATGGATTTTGAAAACAGTAAACAATCATCAAATTTACCACCCGTCATCACTGTCGTTTTCTTCATTTTCGGAGTAGTAGTCACTACACTCTGATCCTGAATCTGTCCAATCAGTATCGTCGTTATTTTCCTCCGTATCTGGCGCATGCCATCGATTGTCAAATTGTAAAATACAACGTGGTTTTAGGACAACTTGTTTCTTGAACTCTCTCCTTACTCTATCCACGTAATCTTGTCGTTTGTTTTCTAGCAAGTAAGGACAGCATGGGTGATATTTGGCATGCATGTGCCAGGGATCAAAATCCAATTTTCCAATATTTACTAACCCACCGCATTCAAAACACTGAGAAAGCACTGCGTCGGTAGTGAGATATAGACCGGCTTCAGCAAGGTTGTAGGCAAAGTCTTCCACGCTTGCGTCGTATGTATTCTGAAGTCTTTTGCATGTTTTCAGACGGGCTTCGGTCGTTGACATAAGTGTCGATCTAGTTGAAAGATGTAACTGATTAAACACTTCTGTCATAAATGGAAATTTCATAAATGTAGCAGTGTACATATCACCAGTCTTTATTGTACAAAATAATTGTTGTCCATGAGCTGGGTATTTCAAAAGTTTACTTCCTATTTTTCCGAATTCTTCTAATCTTCTTTTCTCTATTTCTGTTCGAAAATCCATTTCGTCAAGCTCCTCACCAAAATTGATCCCGATCCGAAGATACCTCATAGTAGTTTTCTCAATAAAGTCTTCGCAAGTCAGAATATCGATATGCCTATATCCATGGCCTAAATAAAGTCTTAATAAATTCCATTCTAAGTCACACTCCTCTCCGTAAATAGTTATTCCACATAACTCAGTATATAAATGAAAGAAGTGATCTGGTCCCAGCTGTCCCGTGTAGTACTGATAATAGTTATTTGTAGAGTATAGTGGTCTCTTTGGACAAATGTTTTCCAATGTCGAATCTTCGCAAACTTCTCTTGCTAAATGATTATTCCGTGTTTGCATCTCTTGTCGGTTACCCGACGACGGCGTTACAAGTAATGATCCCATTGTGTTCTGTAATCAAAAGAGCAAATATATAGAAATACTTATTGATTCAATGATTAGATAGTTTGTAGAATATCGCCAGTACTCTAATGCATTTGAAAAAGGGGAACATATTCCAAGGGGACAATCAAAACAGGATTAAGTTGCGTTATAAATGATTGTGGTTTGAAGAGAACTCCTTGATAATATAATAAACTGCTTCGCTGAGCGCAGCTGGATACGCCCGCAGAGGTCCAACCCTGAACAGTTGGGGCAAAAATAGACACAATATTCAAGCTTGATACAGGTCTGAATTTGGATTGTATTAAATATTTGACATATTAAAGTTCAATTAATTCTCAATATCATATTAGAAATTTATGAAAATGTAAAGGGAGCTTACATCAATAGATATAAACAATTCACCAAAGTTTCATGAGAATTGCTGACAGCATTTTTGAGTTATTGTCCGAAAACTGGAATATCCCCCCTTTTTTAATGAATAAAACCCCATAACTCAGAAATGTAAAATGTAAAATTTATAAAATTCTAAACGGAGCTTACATCAATAGATATAAACAATTCACCAAAGTTTCATAAGAACTGCTGAAAGCATTTTTGATTTTTTGTCTGAAAACTGGAAAATCCCCCTTTTTTATGAATAAAACCCTGTAACTCGGAAACGTAAAATCTAAAATATACATAAATCGAAAGGGAGCTCATGTCAATAGATATAAAGAATTCACCACAATTTCTTGCAAGTTGGTGAAAGCATTCTTGAGTTATTGTCCGAAAACTGGAAAATCCCCCTTCATCAGTGTAGAGTAGTCTGCGGATCGGAGCTGGAACTGTCGGGGAGTTTGAATTCAAACGGGAAAACCAGCAACCAAAATTGGTTAAAATTGGCCAAGTGGTTTAAAAGAAGCAGAACGAAATAAGAAAAGTTCACGGACGACGGATGACAAGTGATGGCAATTGCTCACATGGCTTTCAGGTCAGGTTAAAAGACCGTGTGTGAAATATCACTTTTTATTTAAAGCCTAGATGAAAACTCACACTTGCACATCAAATCTAAATATCAACGATAAAATGTAAAAGTTTTGATTATGTAATGATATCTTTTTCTCTAATTCTTAGCCGGTTTATTTTTCCCCGACCGGTTAATTATTAAGGAGATAACTGTTTTGTATTTTATGCTTGGTCTACGTACAACGGAGGTTATACTGTTGCAAATTGAGTTAATCTAGCGACACGTAGCGGAACTAGGTAAAAGGTTATTTACGACAGTAAAACCAAGTATTACGTAGACCAAGCTTAAAATACAATATAGTTATCTCCGAGATAACCATATTATATTTTAAGCTTGGTCAGACTCCATTTTTATGCAACCTAAACAATATGTTCCACCTTAATTATTATTTTGGCTTCAAATTATTATAAATATATAATTCAGCGAAACATTGTTCTTGTCTTAGGACTGATGGTTGAACACGAGACAGTGATCCATTGAATGGCAGCAAATATCTTGGTTAGAAGTTCTATATCAGTGACCCGCATTACAGTATGAGACAAAAATGATGATGATGGATGACTGCTTAAAGTCCAGCGGCAAAGTAATATGCATATTCAGGACGAAAACAGGTTAATGTAATATGAATATTTACCCTGCTTTGTACTAGACCGACACGCTGAGCCGGAATTTTAACGTGCTAGTTCACAAGGTAACAGTCCGCAGGAAGATATGTCACCTTACCCGGACACATTATTCCGACTCCGAGTCGACCAGTCTTTGCTCTTACTCCTTAATGCCGCGTGCTTAGCGGAGAAGCAACAAATATCAATTTTTAAGTCTTTGGTTTGACCCGGCCGGGGTTCGAACCAACGACCTCCGCATTCGAAGCGAACACGCTACCACGAGACCACCGAGGCGGTCTATGAGACAAATAAGGCACAGGTATCGTCCTTTAATATTTAGACGGACAGTGGAAAATGAGACAGTGAACTATTTCATGGCAGCAATATACCATTGTTAGAAGTTCTGTAACAGTGAAACACATGCATTACAGTCCAATAAGAAGAAGGCACGGATGTCGTCCTTTACTTTTTTGACGGACAGGGGAACATGAGACCGTAATCTATTTAATAACAGCAATATACACTTGTTAGAAGTTCTATAACAGAAAAAGCTGTACAGCACGAGATAAAATACGGCAGGTACGGACATCCTCCTTTACTAATTGGACGGACAGTGGATCTATGGTTTTAAAAAGGAGATACCGAAAAAGGGGCCCCGGCAGTAAAAATCAGAAAATGTCCTAAATATTTTCAGGCAAAAGACGGGAACCCATGCACGCTTGGGACATCACCGGACTCGGATTCTCCCTGTAAATAACTGTTACTGAATATGAGGCATATATATTTTTACAGATTTTGCTACATGGTTTGGATTTTGCCCGTCTATAAATTAATTCTAATTTATAAACTATGTCTATAGTCCTTTGCTCTCATGACAAAGATATATTTACTTCTTTTTCCTGAAGCTGGTCATATTCAGATGGCCCATACTGCTTCATCAACCATGAGTCAACAATGCTAAAGCTATTTCGATACGGAAGTTTTTAATGACATCACGAGGAATGAAAATGACTATTTAACACTATATTGATTTGTTTGTAAAATAATGTCCGTATAGAAGACAGGGAGGGCTAAGACATCAGACAGAACTCCGGATCATCCGTTTCACTTATATAATTTTAATTGATAAACATTTCCCTTGGACACACACCGTACCCATAGTAATAGAAGTCCGCTGAAATACGGGTCAGCCCTTGTCTGTCTGGCGTATCTGTATACGTGGTCACAATACTATGAGTGGCCGTTCATGTCATTTGCGCGATTATATACGCGTATATAATTTTATACGCGTATATATACGCGTATATTGTTGTTTTTAACGCGTATATTGTTGTTTTTAACGCGTATATTGTCGTTTTATACGCGTTTATTGTTAAAATATACGCGTATATATACATGTTACTGCTGAAAATGATTTTTTTTGTGTAAACGCGTATAATAAATGTAAATTCTTTGTGCTATACGCGTATATAAACGCGTTACTTTTGGGAAGGTGTCAAATATTTCAAATCCAATCAAATCTGTCCATGTTACTGCGTTTGGTTTCACAAAGGGGACATAACTGGCATATTAAATTATAATCCTTGGGCGTGTTTTTTTTTTGTTCTTCGGTAGTGAACCAGAAGAGGTCCATTTCTGCTTTTTTGCATTGGGAAGATCTTCTGGCTCTCTTCTTCCTCTTCCTTTTAAATAGGTAGTTTAGACGGCAGAGGCACATAACAAACATGGCGTCGTTTAGTCTAAATGACATTAATAAATTTATGAATGCAACTATAATAGAATGTGTGCTGTGTGATAAACGTTTTTTGGCATGGCAGCCTTAGTAGGGATGATAAGTTGGATAAATATAAGAACTACACGGACAATAACAGTAAGGGGACGACTATTTGGTATTCTGGGGAGGGTCGGGCAGGAGGATTTTTTGCAGATTTATTATTCATTTTAATCTATTGCTAATCATGCCTATTTTTTCAAGTCTTGCTAGGCCACCATATTCATTTACAAAATCCTCCTGTCTTCCACCCATCGCCCCAAAAAATAATAAATACTAATTGGTTTTCCCCTTAAATAATCACGAGTTTAAATTGATTGATTGTTGGTTGCTTATTTTTAACGTCCAGTGACAAATACAAGCTCCTGATTTGGGACAAGCACATATCTGTGAGCGCTCAACTCTTCCTTAAACTGGGATAGTGGTGTAACAGTACAACATAAGAACAAACTGTAAAAATCCGGCCAGTTGCAGTTAGATTAACTCAAAAGAAACAACAAACATTAAGGCAATAGACACAAAGCACCGAAATAAGAGTATTGGAGTTTAATACTAAAAGGTTGTTCAAAGCCAATTACAACTAACTTTGTTCTCCCAGACTAAAGTATCAGTCAGTACACAACCAAAGAATTTAGTAATAAACAGTATGCAGGGGCGGATTCATACGGGGGCGAGCGTGCGCTCCCTCCCCCACCCCCCAAAAAAAATTTGCAAAGTAAATGTTGTCCTCAGCTTAATAAAGAATATTTCGATAATTTTACCTAAAAAAATTCGGAGCTCGGCGAAAATTTAAGTTTGCGCCCCACCCCCCTTTAAACCTAAAATCCCGGATCCGCCCCTGGTATAAGAAACGCCATGACCTTGTATGCCTTGTATATGTTACAGGCATTTTCTAAATTTAGGCAATTTGTAAAATGACTGAAATTTTGAAACAAAATTCAACAAATTGCCTGTTCAGTTTCGGGCAATTTGTAGGATATCATTGAGATGCATTTGACAATAAGTGGACAAAAACACAACATCTTGCAATGAAAATAACTAATGGTTCGGTAGCCTGAATTAATTTATTCTTCAAAAAACACCTTGGAAAGTTTGTATGTCATATGATATGTTCTTTTTAGTGAAACTATGTTAAGTATGTACTCACTCTGTATTTCAGATAGTAAATTTATGATTATGTTGTCAAAATGGCAGAAGGACAAATTGTTCTTTCTATAGAAGCAAAATTTACAAACGATGTATGTGACTGTCCCAAGTCAGGAGCCTGTAATTCAGTGGTTATCGTTTGTTTATGTGTTACATATTTGTTTCGTTCACTTTTTGTACATAAATTAGGCCGTTAGTTTTCTCGTTTGAATTTTGTACATTGTCATTTCGGGCCTTTTATAGCTGATTGTGCGGTATGGGCTTTGCTCATTGTTGAAGGCCGTACGGTGACCTATAGTTGTTAATTTCTGTGTCATTTGGTCTCATGTGGAGGGTTGTCTCATTGGCAATCATACCACATCTTCTTTTTTATATTTACACAAACAAAAAGGCATATAGACAATGCGCCTTAACAAAAACAAAAGAAAAGAATACCACAGCACAATTAACACAATGACGGGATGTCCACGTACCGAGCCATGTCAAATGAGCACTGCCAAAAATAGGCTAAACAGTTCGAGTAATAAATTACAAAGGCTAATAAAAGAATACTATAACACGTTATTTAGATGATAAACAAAGTCAGTACCTAGAATCTATACTTCAAGACCATCGTGTATTATTTGTGAAGTTTAGACGGAATATTTATCAACAAGGTCTTGGTTTCTTCCAATGAACCTTTTTTTTTAGAAGTATGTGTTTTAGAGCACAACATTAAAAACCAGGATGCCAAGTTTAGAAATAAAAAAAAGGCAGGTAGTATGGGCCTAGTAATGTGAATTCGGTAATAGTGAATCAAAAGAGTTTTATTAATTATATAATAATGTTTTGGTAACATGGATATCACATTACTAATTGTTCTATGGTCATATACCAAAAGGTGGTAGGGAATCTTCAGGTCATGTCCTAGTCAAGATCAAGAAGTTGTACGGTGATTTTAAACAATTCCTCATCACATTCAACAACAGAAATAATTGCATCGACATCGTTTTCACTATCACTACCACCATTATTATTATCTTTAACTCCACATTCTTCTAGCAGGTCTTGATAGTATCTGTCATTCCTGAATAAGTTCCTCTATGGACCTGCAACTTTGTAAGTTCTTCTTTGGATATTTTTTTCTCAATAACGACCTTATGGCACATCCACCTGGATGACACCTGGATCAACTCTTGAACATCCATCTCGTACTCGCTGTCTGGGTAGAAACAGCAAATCTAACACGTATGGAGTTTGGTCCTATTCGTCTGTTAGTACCAGCAACCTCTTTGATTTTCTGATCAAGGTTTTCATCTGTTATATCAGTTATTTGCCTTAAACTAATGTTGAAATTTCTGTTTTTTAAAAAAAAAAGTTTCTAGTTTAAAATGCAATAACAACTAGCTTTGGTTACATCTTCTGACATCGGACTCGGACTTCTCTTGAACTGAATTTTAATGTGCGTATTGTTATGCGTTTACTTTTCTACATTGGCTAGAGGTATAGGGGGAGGGTTGAGATCTCATAAACATGTTTAACCCCGCCGCATTTTTGCGCCTGTCCCAAGTCAGGAGCCTCTAGCCTTTGTTAGTCTTGTATTATTTTTAATTTTAGTTTCTTGTGTACAATTTGGAGTTTAGTATGGCGTTCATTATCACTGAACTAGTATATATATTTGTTTAGGGGCCAGCTGAAGGACGCCTCCGGGTGCGGGAATTTCTCGCTGCATTGAAGACCTGTTGGTGACCTTCTGCTGTTGTCTGTTCTATGGTCGGGTTGTTGTCTCTTTGACACATTCCCCATTTCCATTCTCAATTTTATTTGTATGTTGGTGCGAGGCGAATGACTATTAGTAGTCTTTATACAAATATGTGGTTTGTAAGTTTGACTGTACCTGTAGAGAATTTAATTCAAACAGGAAAACGCATCCCAATTTTTATGGAAATGTTGTTTACAGAGCCCCAAAATATCATAAACCAGGCCCTTAGATTTTCCGTTTAAATTGTTTTACGTTTGTAATTTAATATGGGCCTTTTATAGCTGACTATGCAAATGGATTTTACTCTTTATTGAAGTTCGTACGGTGATCTATAGTTGGTCTCTGGTGGACAGTTGTCTCATTGGCAATTATACCACATCTTCTTATTTTATATTTGTATTATTGGTTTATAAAAAAAATGCATACTTTTAATACAATATACACATATCATTTACATGTAAAGAAGATTATTAAATTGTCAACATTCACATAAAATAGAGATTTTGACCAAGCTAACAAGTTTGATGTTAACTTAAACATGTACCTTAATCTCCTTCTAACTGTTGATTGTGACACACCAAGTACCTCGCTCATCATTGGCGCAGTGAAACCAAATCTCGAAAGAAAGTCAAGCTGTTCCCTGGTTATATCATATTTATAGTGACCATTTTCGTCAGTTTGAAGGCGTTTCGACTGATAACCTGTTTTCTCTATAAATGACAAAATGTAAAAATTCATTCATGTTCATTTTTCTGGTCATTAACGGATGTAATTGAATTTCTCAAACTTATCAGACTTAAAATTGGTCAAAACATTCATAGTAAAACTACAAATAGCAAAATTAATGTTTTGCTAATGATATCCCAAATATCACTTAAAACAGAATACAATAAGAGGTCCACATTGTCATTAGGTACTAAACATGTCAGGAAATTTTCATCTAAATCTAGCATTTAGAGTATGTTTGTGTACTTTTTTTTGGCTATTAGTCTTTTTTTCTTTTTAGCCGTGCGTTGTCAGTTTATTTCCACTTATGAGTTATGCAAAGGATGTGACATTCATGATAAAGGGGTGACTTATTTCGTTTTCATATACATTCAACAATAATGCAATAAATTAAAAACCAATTGTTCAGAGTACAATTGAAGGTCTTTCCACCGGAAAAGATCTATTTTGATACAAAAATATTAAAATACGATTTGAAATGTCATTTCCAGCGTCAAATGATAGCTTATTGTACGCTGATTTAAAATATATGGTTTCTGGAAAGTTTTTTTTTAAATAAGGGAGATTATTTGTTACTTCAGGTTTGAAAAATGTCACTTCATCTATTATTTGATAGTTTACTTGACACTGATTCTAAAAATATATGGTTCTTTATACTTGTATATTGCTTTGGCTTTAGATATGTATTTTAGTAGTGCTTTGCATGTATTTCAATATGCCTGTGCTGATATATATCCTGTCTGCATGTTGTGTGTTTTAATGTTGTGTTTGTGTTACTTTATATTCGGTAAAAAGCTGTTAAGAGCTTATGTTTGTATTGTTATATGTGAACCGAATCAAAATAAAACTTTCGCAGGTCGAATAGTATTTTTGCAATGCACTGACTATAAATTAATAAAATTGAGAATGGAAATGAGGAATGTGTCAAAGAGACAACAACCCGACCAAAGAGCAGAAATATAATAAAAAGTATGGGACTTATTTTCACGGTACAGGTTGTGCAAAATTGTCAGATTTTGTATAGATTATGAATGGAAAATCAAATTTTGTGTGATAAAAAGAAAACTACTTGATAGAACTTTAAGATAAAATGTGAGAAGATAGCTCTTATAACATGCTTTCAGATAAGAAAAAGAAAAAAATGGGTCACCGAACTTATTTTCTTGCTATATTTCAAAATAGGTAAATCCACAACACTTTCTATTATAAAATTACTTTATCTGATTTACCTCCCCTTATTTGGCAAAGTTGAAAAAAATCTAATCAAACCCAAATAAGGTGTATTTGAGAAATAACAGCCGCAATTACTTCTATATTTACATCAAAAGTCTTTTATATAGATTACATACTACTTTCAAATTTGCACATTTCATCAAATATCCAGACCAACGTTATCTGCTACTTCAAAATCCAAGATAGAGGAAAACACCCCGGCCCCCTGAAAAACCGACCGGGCGAGGCCTGTAAAGCCAGTCAAGTTCGTTAAACACTTCCATCATCAACCCCTGAAGAAACCTGTTAAGGTCGTTAAGTACTGCCATTTGTTGGCGAATATTGATAAAAAAACCTTCCATTTGTTGGCACCTAAACAACAAGGTCGTTAAACACTCCCATCACCTAAACTATAGACCGTGCGAGGGTTGTAAAGCCAGGCAAGGTCATTAAACACTTCCATCATCATCACCTTAACAATGATTTATATAGTATAAAAAGCTGAGAAAAAATACATTTTCTTACTGTGTTACACAATGAGGAAATAGTTACACACGAAATTAGATTATCAGGCTTGAACCAATGTTTCAGCCACTGCTACTTTCAGCCCCTGTATACCCAACATACCAGCTTAATGTACGTAGGTAGTTTTTGTCGCAACCTGCGATTACCTTTAACGTATACTGTCAAACATCTGTTTTTGTATGGCGTCAGTCGTCCCAAGCCGGAAACAATCATCAACGGTCTCTTATACTCTCTGCAAAAATCTCTCTCTGTCCCCGTTTCCGCTAAAGTTGGCAGCCATATTCGTTATATGGCATCAGTTGTCATATACAAACCAGTTTAAAAACGCAGTTATCATTGGTTAAGACAATACGACAAACGAATGTTTATTAACGCGTATATAATGATTTCATACGCGTATATTTACGCAAATAACGCGTATATTAACGCGCATATTTACGCAAATAACGCGTATATTAACGCGTATATGATAAATAAATTGGAATAAAGTATAAACGTGTTTATTTTAACAATATACGCGTATAAAACCACAATATACGCGTATATGACAGCCATATACGCGTTAAAAACCACAATATACGTGTATATGTAGGTAATATACGCGTATATATACGCGTATAAAATTATATACGCGTATATAATCGCGCAAATGACATGAACGGCCACTCATACAATACAGTACAATAACGTGAATACAATATTTTAATTATACCAATTAAGGGTCCATATGAATAGGGTCCAATATCGACTGCTATATCACACTTCTAAACTTTTTAATTAACATATATCACTATTATAGAAACTGGCAACTTTATATTCGACAGATTTAAGTAATAAATAAATGGCGGTCAAGTGTTATAACCTTCTTAAATGCCAGATTAAGGTTATCCTATACATTTTATTTTAGTTTTAACAAAAATTAAATATTAAATAACAAAGTATGTAAAATGATAGTTCTTATAAACACTTACATGAAATTCGGGCTACCATACTAAGTCGATAAAATGACAAATCAGCATTTCTTTCCAGTATGAGGTATGTTTTTGTTTACAAAATTGACGTCAAAACTAAAAATAAATATATACATGACATATATAGTAACACTTATTACTTCCGGTTATGAAATCAAATGTAAAATAACTTAACTTGGTAAGATTCCATAATTCAATGCAATCTTATCGGAATGCCAACATTTTACAATTTTTATGTGTTCAAATAAAATGCTTTGTGCGATACAAACATATTGATCAATGAAATTATATTCTCATTGGCAATCATACCGCATCTCCTCATTTTGATGATAAATGAAATAACAAGTCCGCAAATAGTCAGTATATTTTTTTTTCATTATTGCTTAGTGTTGGTATATTCATCCCTTGTTACTTCAGTTTTGTTGTGTTCTGTGTTTCTAGTCTATATTTTGTCAATTTAACACGTTCAACAACTAATTTGTGGCCAAAGGGAAATAATTCAGAATTTTAAACTGCAAAATATCCATAATGCATAAATCTATTCTTGGGATCAAATGACAGTCATCAATATAGTTAGTAGACTTGAATGCAACAGGAGTCCAATGTTAATTTTCTCATTATGTTTAATGTATAATTATTATATGAGACGACTTAAAATAAATAGAGATATAATACTATATAGTGCGTTTACTGCAGATCAAGAATTATCTCAAGAAAACTCAAAATGCTGGTTTTCTACCCTAAATAAAATATTTATAGAACTTAAACTTGACACAAAAGAATTGATAGATAATAGTGTTTTTAAAAATAGTCTAATAAGATATTATCATCAGCAATCTGACTCACAACTACAAAAAAATCAAATCTGGAGCTGTGGTCAGTAAACCGATGCTTTTCAGTAATATTTTGGTTCCAAATTTGGTTCCCTTCTATCTTGAAACCAATCTTACCAAAAATATGAAAAGTAAAATTACACAACGTATCAGTGCTCATTGTTTAAATATAGAACGCGGTAGATATAATTAACCCAAAATTCCAAAAGACGAACGCTTGTGCAAATTCTGCACGGAAGTAGAGACAGAAGAACATTTTTTGTTATCTTGTCATATATATAAAGATATAAGGCAAACTTTTTTCCAATCTTACGGTTTAGATTTGAAAGAGTCACATAATAATTATTTTTCAGTTTCTAAACTTTTAAATCCACAAAATATTATTGAATGTAATTATTTATACAAATTTATTAGAGATGCATTAGAAATAAAAAACAATTAGAAATAAAAAAACAATTCTTAAAGTAATGTGAAAATGTATTATTATATACTACATGTGAAACTTTGAAATGTTGTTTTGTATATTGTCGTATGATTTGTAATGGAGAACACTAATGTAATATTAGTTATCTTAATAAATAATTTGAGTCTGAATCTGAATATGTAACAGAAATAATTCGGTCCGATAGTAAAATGCGCACCCCCCCCCCCCCCCCTACCCGGACTTTGCGTTCTATAAGTAAGTGGTCTTTTATGTAACATCAATTTTCCAATGAAATAATTTTAGAGAGAGTCCGGTGGTGGAAAACTATTTCTACATTCCATTTTCTGGAAAAACCAGATGATATATAGATTCCGCATCTAAACAGGTTTATTTGATATACAAAAGATTAATAGTGAGTGATACTTGTTAAATTTACATATAGAACTATCAATACCATTTTTTGATAAAGGAGACGACTTTTCTTTTACCTATATTTACCACTGGCAATACAAAGAGTCTAATAGAGTTGTTAGTGGATTTTATTCTTAAAACCAAATCATTGCTAGAATATTTATACAAATATAGTGTCTAGGAATAATTGACCTGCATGTACAATCTACAATAAATCTAGGAATTATTGACCTGCATGTACAATCTACAATAAATCTAGGAACTATTGACCTGCATGTACAATCTACAATAAATCTAGGAACTATGGACCTGCATGTACAATCTACAATAAATCTAGGAATTATTGACCTGCATGTACAATCTACAATAAATCTAGGAATTATTGACCTGCATGAACAATCTACAATAAATCTAGGAATTATTGACCTGCATGTACAATCTACAATAAATCCTGAATTTTTGTATTGCATTGTTGAACAATAGACAAAAATGTTCACTTAATTATTACAGTTTGACGAAATACTGCATACCAATAATTACATAACAATTTACAGTTTCTAATCTTTAGTTTTCTTTTGCATTAGTATTTAACAACAGCTGTGACTTCTTTTGGTACATGTATATTCCTGTAGTAGTAGTTACAATAAAGCCACTACTTTATTTCCAGATAAAAAAGATTTGTTCATGTCAGTATCCAGAATATTTCCTCATAAGAATACAACTGTTGCTATGGAGTGTATCCTGTTGCTAAGTTTTTGAAAAGTTTATGATTCTCTATTCAAGCAAAATATTCATTGCCAGTTGTTTGAATATGTTTTTATATAGAGATAAGAGGTTAAACTATAGCTCTATTTTTGTTGAAAATGTTCACAAAATCAGTCTATTGCTAAGGAATTTGTCTGTTGCTAAGGACAAAGTGCACCGTTTCATTAAATTTGAAGACAACATTTTATAAATTTCAGTCCTAAGATCATGTAGATAGATATTTAGCATATTTTCAGATGCAAAAATCTTGACATCAGAGTATTTTTGTAGACCGAAGGTCAGTGGTTCTCTCCGGGCACTCCGGATTCCTCCACCAATAAATTCTGACCGCCACTAAATAGCACAATAGTGTTGAAAGTGGCGTTAAACACCAATCAATCAATCAATATTTTTGTAGACATGAGTTGACTTGATAACATTTCGAAAATATTTGCAGATCTCCTTTTGCTGTTGCTCTGCAACCCTTTCTAATAAATTAAAAACTTACTCTAATGTTATTAAGATATATGCTATGAATATCACATATGCAAGAAAATCTAAAAATTTGGAAAATTACATAATGTCTATTTATCCCATTGATTTCTTTTTAAAAATCATTTAGCAATATGTTACCAAGGAATATAAGTGTTGCTAAGCAACTATATATTTTTTTCTTTTTCTATTACCTTGATATGTTTATAGATTGATGTCTTTATAATACTATATTGATATTTGAATAAATTATGGAAAACATATGTTTTTGTTATCACTTGATCTAGAAAATTGCCTTGGAAATTGTGAAAAAATCAGATTTTTGACAAGACTCAAAGCAATATTTATGAAAGCTTACCCATTTTTATTTTTTTTCAAATAAGCTTTTATACTATTACAACAGGAATATAATAGAGAGTTATATAAAGAAACTGTCCGGATTTTTGCTAAGATGGAATTAAAAGTAACACATTTTATATCAAATTTCAGAATTCAAAAACCTTGCCATTTCAAGTTGCCATGGCAACATTTCCAAAAATTAAACACCTTCTTGTTGTGCAAATTTCTACAAGGTAAGAAGTCTTCTTTATGAAATCAGTGTTGAAAAACAAATATTTTGCAGTATTGGTTCTCTGGATTACTTTAAAAAATGTCTTTTTTACCTTGTTTCAGTAGGTTTTTTAACCAGTATCTCAGGAAATGCATTTTGTTACCATGGAAACCAGTTGATATAAATGAAATGACTATTTTCATCCTTTATGTGTAATATACCACACAACACATAATTTATAAAATCAATTTTATAAAAAAAAACTATTGTTTTTACATTCCATTCAAAGCTCAGTGCTTCCTGACATGGCCTCTTAAGTACTTTGAGCTTGCTTTCGGTCATTTCGAGCAATCTTTAATATGGTATAACGTGTTATTTATTTTGTGTTTTTGATACCTATTATAACGTTATTTTTTCAGTTACGTGCTTTCGTCAATGGCCGTCATATTTCATATCTTAATGAGTTTCCTTATTTGAAGAATTGGGTGTTGGCGTTTGTTGCAGAACTTTTGTTTATTTCGGTTGGTGTTTCTAGAGAGAGAGAGAAATGCAGCACATTCAATAATTAACCCTCAGTTCAGCTAAAAGTATTTTTTCTTCTTAATTGTATGAATAATTTTTGAACAATAAAAGACACATACAAAATTGTGTAAATATTATGAAAATGAGAAAACAACAATTTATTGCTGTTATGGGAAAGATCGATTGTTATCCATTTTATATAGAATCAATATATGATATGTTAAAATACTGGGAACATTTGGAGAACAATAATGATGTATTGATGTTTACATCAATTAATGCAGACATCCTCAAAACTGAATGATCAGAGAAAATCATCGTAGCTAGGAAACGTCTATTCGATTTTGACTACGTTACTTCAGTAAAAAACACGAATACATTATCCAAACATATTTTTTTTAAAGAGGTAGAGCCAATTCCCCTTGTATTAGTTTATAATTCACCGGGTCAAAATCTAAAGATGTTTAAATCCAACTGGAAATTGAATAAAGAGCCTATATAATTTATTAACATATTCCCATTAAATCAAAATACTGTTCATAGGTACGCGAAGGCAATTTAATTGATACACCATTGCAAATATTACATGAGTTTGTCAAATTTTGCATTGAAGGACGTCGCTAACCAAACTGTTAGGAATCACAGTGTATGGCCAAACTCAGTAAAGACCTGTCTAAATTCTACATATTTGATCAAGTCAACAACAGTTACCATTATCTTGATGATCATTTTTTGTTAAATAATCAATAATTCTCTAAATATACTGCAGAACTTTATCCAAAGGAAATTATATTAAATAAATCAAATATAAACAGCAGCACAACTGTTCTTTCCTAGATTTAGATATTTCAGTTTTACAAAAATGTACGACAAAAGGGACGATATTTCGTTCTGTAGATTTATATATATGACCTATGATTGCTTTGCATTTCCCCCTTGGTGAGTGTCGAGTGGATTTCCTTTTAATTGAGTGTGAAGTGAGTATATGTTGGGTTACCATGTAATTTGTCAAATCCTAGTTCCCTTATCATGCATTTTAGATAATGTGTTTTACAGACACTGTATAATGGATTGGGTCTTTGTCTGCCGAGATAACAACATGTTTTTTTTATCATGGATGT